CTTTTTGGGTCCAGCTGAAGATGAACTTCCTCTACCTTTCCCTCTTGATGAATCTCGACTTCCGCTTCTGCCTTTCTTACCTTTCATCTTGGCATCATAGACCTTCTGAGAATGACTGTAAAGACATTTGTCACCTTTGTTGCATCCTCCTTTATTGAAGAAGTAGTTACAGAAAATCTTCTTCTTGTCAACGGGTGAAGATGATCTTCCCTTCCCACCTTTGCCTTTCTTGTTGTTCTTGTCAGCATGGGATTTCGGAGAAGGTGTAGGAAGTACCGATGCAGCTTCACTCTTCGCTTTCGCCTTAGGACGTTTGGGAGGATCACCTGTAGACGATGCAGCCGCTTCATTCTCCTTCTTGGTCTTGACGGGAGCGGCAGGCTTGTCTGCATCTTCTAAGGCAGGTGTCGTCTTGTTAGAGGACAATGACAGTTTCACTGCACGTTCTCTATCTTTCAACAGTCGTTCTTGCTTCCCTCGTGCTATGTATCCCTTGATCATACCAGTTAGGTAAGCATAGGTCTTCTCATGATGCCCTTCATCAAAGGTTTTGTATCGGTTGATATCGAAGGCCATAAGCTTTGAATGTTCAATCTTCCGGAACAACGTGTCACGCAGGGAATTGTTGGAAGGCAGATCATCATGTTTCATATTGTATACGATGTCAAGCCACTTGTTGTAGAAGGCCTCAAGTTGATCATCTCCATAGTAGTTGAACATATACAAATGATGGGCATTGTAGAGAACTTCAGTGTGGTCAGGTGACTTGAAGCTAATCAATATCATTGCAAATAGTTCTCGTCCCTTGATGAAGTCCCCACTTCTCCCATACAATTGGTTCTTCATGGACATGTCATACTTCACTTGCATGGACTTGTCCCCAGCATTGTCAATGACTTTCCTCAAGGCATTGGAGAGCTTGGCATCAATGGATTGGAATCTCACATCAGGAGCTTTGGCCAGCGCCTCCAAGTCAGGTTGATCTGCAAGACACGGAGCTAACCACGCCTTCCAATCTTCATAGTTTCGATCTCCACTTGCAACGCAAACTTCATGAACGACACTTCCCTTCCAGGATGAAAGTTCAGTGGTCTTAGGCCAGGGTTGGAGGCTGATCTTTTCGGCTTCCCTTAGAGATACAGATGACTTGGATCTATCCCTTTCAAGGTTCTCCAACTCCTTGACATTTGTGTTGTACTCGTTCCTGAGCTTCTCGAAGGCTTCAGCTTCTGCTCGGTATTCCTGCTCTTCATCATTGGCACGATCTTCAGCTTGAGAGAAATTGTTCTTATAGTAATCTTTACGGTCTTCCATCTTCTTCAACTCATCTTGAAGATTTCGAACTTCAGCGTTCCTCTCTTGCTTCATCTCGTCCAACTCTGCTTTCAGTTTGGCACACTTCTCTTCACATTCATTCCGAGGCATGGCATTACTGGGGTACCCATGTAATGTAGTCGGTCTATTCATTGATGAAGAAGAATGAGCTTGATTTTCCAACTTCAGGGCAGCAATGGTGCTCGACATCTCTTCTACCTCAGCGTAACGCTCATTGGCCAATTGATGCATCTCGGTCAAATGGCTTTCAGGAATGGAATAGTCAGTCGCACCTTTGATCACGAGTCTTCTGTCGTTCAACATCTTGATGGACTTACCTGTATCCCTGTGAGCACGCTCAAGAGAGTCCTTTTGGGCTTCAAGTTCAGTATGAAGGCGAGCAATAGCTGTGTCCCTGTCATTGATTTCATTGTGCAAACTGTCGAACAAGTTACTCGTCACATTCGGATTGTTGCTCATGTGATCGATCTTGTTCAGAGCATCTTGATATTTCTTACCAGTTTCATCAAAGTTTCGCTGGAAGACTTTGAGCAGGTCCTCAGTGTCAATGAGTTCAGATCTATTCTGCAAGTACAACTTGTCAACTTCGGCCTTGGATTCTTTCAAGCTGTCACGTTCACGCACGGCTTGCATGTACATCTCGTATAGAGGTCCTCCATGCGGTGATCTGCTTGGTGAAGATCTTCTGGCTTGTTGACAGGAAAGTTCATGATACTGATTCTTCGATTCAGTCAGTTGCTGTTGCATTCGATCTAAAAGACTTTGTTTCATGTGTAGTTCAGAACGTAGTCCCATTATCCTCATGTCCCGCATGCCACCTGATTCAGCTAGAGATTCTTCAGAAACCCTGTTCTCAGAAATCGCTAGTCGGGATTGTAAGTTCTCACTGTGGATCACCTGTAATCGAAGCTGTGATTCTTCCAAAGCTAAGTGATGTTCACATTCTGCATAACGGTCATGTTCAGATCTTATGTTACTACGGAACTCCTTCATGATCTCGTCCCTCTTCATGTCAGCAGCATCTAACTCAGTTTCCAGTCGCCTGACATTCATGGCCATGGTGTGCTTCATCGTCTGGTTCTGATTGGCAACCTCGAGCATCTCGATCTGCAAAGCACATGTTTGGTCATTAGCATAGCCGACTGCTAGAGCTTCTTGCTTGGCATTCATCTCTGCGTTTTCCAGTTCCAGTCTGAGTTGATTAATGTGAGCATTCGCGTCAGTTCCCACATGTACCATAATTGCGTTTGCTTGTCCCATTTGTTCATCGAATTCCGAACGTAGTCGTGAATATTTGAATTCCAAATGAGATGCAGCTTCATTCGACATAGTCTGATACCTTTCCAACTCTTCGATCCTGTAGGTCGCACCTTCATCTTCTTGTTGTGCAGCCTGTAACTCGAAGTTCAGCATCTGGAGTTGTTCGGTCATCGACATCATCTCTTGATGAGTGGTGCTTTCCAGGAAATTAAATTGTTGATAGGCATATGCTGTCGTCTCACTCAATCTTGCCTGAAGTACGGATTCTTCTTCAGTGGCCCTTTCCAGTGATGTTTTGTACTCAGTCAATTCACTCTGATAGGCAGTGAAGATGTCGCTACCACTTGACGGGGCGTTCACTTGCTGATAAGATCCTGTCCCTGATGGAGTAGCGTCCTGAATCGGTGAAGGCGGATTCGACGACGTAGTCTTTGCCTTAGTCCTTGGAGTCATCGGAGGCGACAATTGTCGTGCAGATGATCTTCTCTTTCCAGGTGTGCTGTCCCTATCTTCAATGGCTTGCATTGTCGAAATTTGTCTCCCTCTAGGAGCAACCAGAGGTCGCCTGGGTAGGCTTGTTCTCAATTCTGAGGCATCGCTTCCACCAGTGTCGATACTCTGTGAAGAATTTGACTGCGTGCCGGCAGCTGGTGCGACGGCATGTCCAGAGAAAGAAAATGCGTTATCGCTGCTATCCTGTTCAGTCATCTGTAAGGCCCGCGGCTACCCGCTCGTAGGCTTCGTAGGAGTCCTACGGCTGATAACCTGTGAATCGGAGGTTATCTCCCCGATTATGTGCTGTTGTTTGATCTTGAGGTTGATGTTCTCAACAACGACGACACGGGAATTGCAGTTTCAGCATGGCGGCGTTTTTCTCTTGGCACCTGCAGTAATCTTGAGCCAAAGGAGCAAATTGATGCACCCCTTGGCGGTGGACAATTAAGAGTTGAATTATATGGGAGTGTACAGTGATCCGTAGCCTACACTCCATTCGCAGTATATATGTATGTATATGTATGTATATGTATGTATATGTATGTATATGTATGTATATGTATGTATATGTATGTATATGTATGTATACGTATGTATATGTATGTATATGTATGTATATGTATGTATATGTATGTATATGTATGTATATGTGTGTATATGCGTGTATATGTATGTATTTGTATGTATATGTATGTATATGTATGTATAAGTATGTATATGTATGTATATGTATGTATATGTATGTGTATGTATGTGTATGTATGTACGTACGTACCTACGTACGTACGTACGTACGTATGTTATGTTGTATGTATGTGTGTGTGCATGTACGTATGCATACGTAAATGTATACGTATATAATGTGTATATATGCGTATATAAAATTATTTGCAGCTATAAAGTTGCGTATTGTTGCTCTGTGTGTGTATATGTGTATGCGTGTATAAGTGTATGCGTGTATGCGTGTATGTGTGTATGTGTGTGTGCATGCATGGATGAATGGATGGATGCATGGATGGATGGACGGATGGACTGGTGGATGGATCGATGGATGGATGGATGGAGTGATGCGTGTCTGTATGTATGAGTGTATGTATGTCTGTCTGGCTGTCTGGCTGCCTGCCTGCCTGCCTGCCTCTCTGTCTGTCTGTCCGTCCGTCTCTCTCTCTCTCTCTCTTTGTCAGCCACAATGTATGTGTGTCTATGTGTATGTATGTGCATGTATGTCTACGTATGTGTACGTATGTGTATGTATGTGTATGTATGTGTATGTATGTGTGTGTGTCTCTGTGTCTGTCTGTATGTGTATGTATGTGTATGTATATGTAGGTGTATGTATGTGTATGTATGTGTATGTATGTATGTGTATGTATGTGTCTGTCTGTCTGTCTGTCTGTCTGTCTGTCTGTCTGTCTGTGTGTCTGTCTGTGTGTCCGTTTGCCTGTCAGCCACAATTTTTGTGTGTATGTGAATGTATGTATAGTATAGTGTATAGTGTGTGGTGTGTAGCAAATAGTATGTAGCATATAGTATACCACGTATAGTAATGATATAGTATATAGTGTGTATATGTATGAAATAGAAAGTAAATAGTATAGTATGTAGTATTTAGTATATAGTATATAGTATGGTATAGTAAAGTATAGCAAAGTATAGTATAGTTTAGTATAGTATAGTGTCGTATCGTATAGTATAGTATGGTAAAGTGTAGTAAAATATAGTAAAATATAGCAAAGTATATTGCATTTACTATATAGTATATCGTATATCGTATATTTAGTGAAGTATATAGTGTTTAGTGTGTAGTGTATGGTATATATATAGTAGAGCAGAGCATAGTGCAGTATAGCATCGCATATTATAGCATAGCATAATAAGTTGCGTATTGTTGCCCTGTCTCCTGACCCTGCTCACCAAGGTGCCGCAATCTTGTCACCCAGCACAGACATCACGGGAGAGGTGGGGCCAATGAAGGTGATGCCAAGTGGTTTCAGACGATCCGGAAGTTTGGGATTCTCCGAAGCATGTCCCCAGCCAGGCCATACAGCATCCACGCCTTGCGCGGAACGTTTCACAAGAACTTCCAATACATGCAAAAGCAGCATGATTCTGGTATGTTATATCTATACATCTATACATCTATATGTCTGTATGTTATATCCATATGTCTATAGATCTATATATCTGTATGTTATATCTATAAATCTATAAATGTCTATAAATATCTATATATCTATAGATTTATATATCTATATTATATATACATCTATACATCTATACATCTATGCTTCTATATATATCTGTATGTTATATCCATATATATTTAAAGATCTATATATCTGTATGTTATATCTATATATCTACAAATGTCTATAAATATCTATATATCTATATATGTATGCATCTATGTATCTATATATCTAATCTATATATCTATATGGATAATTATAGATATCTATATCAATATCAATATCAATATCTATATATATATATCAATCTATACCTACTTTGAATTATACAAATTTGCCACATGCTTTGCAACCAGTCAACATGTTACATGACAGTATGTGCCACAGCATCAGCCAAACAAGACTTCTTGCCGACTTTGACTTGGGCCACGCGACCCATGCGGCCCATACCCGGTTTCCTAGCTTTGCGCCTTGAGACTTGGCAACATCCACAATGAGGTCAACATTGGCATAGTTGTTGACGTTTTTTCCTCCAGGGACTTCAACGTAGGAATTTGCCAGTCGAATGAATTCGGCATTTGCCTCCAAATCCTCGGGAGTGGCCATGACGACGAATTCAAACACATTGTCAGAGCCTAGCTCCAAATATGACCATTGTCTCAAGGAAAGAATGGCCTTTGTTGCAGCCATACCGTTGTTGGCAATGAGCAGTTTGCGCAAAACGCGCTCACCTTCACGGTCCTTCACATACTGCTCAAAAAGCTTTGCTGGCTCAACTGCATTGGTTGCAGCTTTCTCCAAGACAGTAGATGTACTCAAGCAAGTAGTGCTACCAACGCTACCTTTTCCACAACGTTTTTTCGCACCATGTCCAACAGCAGTAGCAACCCCTGCCAAGATGGCCGCCGAACCAACACCCGCACCGACTTTTTGATTCCGTGTGTCAGGCGTGGAGCTCGGCGGTGTCTCAGGAAAAACCCTTGAAGGCGTCACTCTTTGCGAAGCGACATGTCCGGCATGTGAAGCATAAGAAGTCGCAGTGAAGCCAGTGAAGCCAACTTCATGGGCGACAGATGCGGCACATGGCACCGCTGCAACTCCAGCTGCCGCAGCTGCCACAGAAGCCAACTGCCTTCGTTTGGTGCCACCTCTTTTGGCCATGGCGACGCGTGGTCCTGGTAGCTACACCCACCCTGCTCTCAAACTGCGACGAACCATGGGGCAGAACAGGTGGATGATCCACGTGAATCCCTCAATCCTCCAAGACACACAGTCTGCACCATTGACATTTGAATTTTGTAACCTTTGAAACTTTGTTTTGGCGCAAATTCCAAATCCAGCGGCAACATGTGGCATACGATTCAATTTCGACCTTCACCATATAGACCAAAAACTCCTCTGTTCAAAAAACAAATCCACAAAATCTTGAGTATACAGCTCAATTTGTTTAAAAATATGAATTCGTCTGCACAGATTTTGGCTCAAAAGGGGTGGTTTTGTGTTTTGCATCCTGTCCCAAATCTTATTAATGACTTCGAATCATTTTACTTATCATCAGGATTTTTGGATGCGGATGAGTACCGATGATGCCTACGCCCAGGCCCTAGCCAAAAGCATGGTCCTGGATATGTTTTGCAAACATTTTATGCACATGCTTGCCTGCGCCGGACTTTCTCCCTGACGCCACAGGCTCAGTGCGATAGCGTGCACCCCGCATGTGTGTCCCCTGCACGCACGTTCTTCCCAAAGTTGGTCCATGCAGAAGTCTTATGCTGAGGCCCAGCCGGATTGTCCTGTCTTGCAGAATCCCGCTCACTTGGCCGGCAAAGCATTCGTTCCACTGGTGTGGCAATATAATATGGCAATGGCAGTGCAGCTGTCACTCTCTCTCAGCTGTCTTGGCATTCACCCTGGACCACCTGGCCTTTTGTACTACACAAACAAGGTCTATGTCACGGTATCTTGAAAAAGAACTTCAGGGACATGAATCAATGTAAACCTAAAAAAACCTCCTTCCGTCTTAAAAGTGATCCGAACCAACAAAGTATGTCCAAAGTTGCCTTCCACGGTTTTGTCGAACCCTGTTTCCTTTATTGAGTTCATCTGTCTTACGCCATTGAACCTGTGGCACGAAGACCACCAGGGTATACATTTGGGAGGCCCAAAACACATTTGAAAAAAAAAAATATGTGGGTGCCACTTTCTGAAATCTAGAACGCGCATGTGGCACGAACTAAGCCATTATGACACATATTTTCGAACTGAACTAATTCACGAACATGCAAACCCTGGAACCACACCAATCACAAGTAAATAGGGAAATATAGCCTCGCAGAAACTTTCATCACCTGTTTTGCCGCCGGTGTCATTGCTAGTTTGTCATGGCAGCAATAGCAAGTCTCAAAGCGCTGCTAGCATACACCGCTCATACGTACACTGTGCAATAGCATGTCGCAGTCGCTTTCACCATGACCAAACATCGGCGGGCCAAAAACAAGAAAATCCTAGTCAACGCATGCATGCCCCAAATTTGGAAAATCCGATGATCGCATGCGTTTGCGTAAGAAAAACATTCGGAATCATTCTGAATCACGTTTGGATTGTGGGAATGCCCTGCGTTGCAATTCCTTTCCACCAGGAACACGAAACAAAAGTCCATGTTTGATTACCCTTTGGGTTCAAAGTGGGCTGGTAAATTTCGAAGGGGCGTTTTGGGGGTGGTTCTCGTTGCATTTTTCAACCCTGTCCACCAGGCATTGGGGATTTAGTCTCATGATGGAAGACCGTAAAACGATTGCAAATGGTTTTTCGTGTTTGTGCCACGCATGGGCTGCCCAAGGCCAAAGGGAAATGGAAAACATTGTTGCGCCCTTGGGCAAAAAATCGATGCAAGTTAAAGGAGACAAGCTGGGAGACATGCTGGTAAACAAGCTGGAAGAAGCTGGAAAACAAAGAGGCCACACCGGGTCTGACTTCCCCTACGGGTTTTGTCATGACATTGCCAAATGTTTTGACTCTGTGGGCTCGGCTGTGTGCGTGGAAATCCTCCGTCGCCTGTCCGTCCCCAAGCGCATTTGCGACCTTCTCTCCGCTCAGTAGTCTGTTCATCAGTGGTGGGTCAGCTTCGGCGATACAGTTTGCCCCCGGCCTGTCATCAGTCCCCTTGGTTTGCCTCAGGGCGACCCCTGGTCGCACTGCGCCTTGACCTTGTTTATGTTGTTTCCCCTTCTTCGTCAACATCGTCCTACCCCCGGCTCTCGCAATTTTCTTTTTTCCCCCGAACACTGTGGCCACACTGAGGCGTTCTTACGGCAAGTCTTGAGGGCCGGTGAGTTTAATCGGGGTGGTATCCGGCGCGCTCGGCATTTTCCCTATAAATTTCCACGTCCATGTGCATTTCGACTGCGCATGCTCGCGCGAAACGAGGGTTGCGGTCGAAGCGTACGGCAGTTTCCCACGCGAATTTCCACACAAAATGGCTCTCGTGAAATGTCCATATGCATTTCGACTGCCCAGCCTCTCACAAGACAGGTGTCGCGGTCGAAGCGTACAGCTGTAAATTCCCTGTAAATTTCCACGCAAAATGACTCTTGTGACATGTCCATGTGCATTTAGACTGGCGCAGGCTCGCACAAAGCAGGTGTCGCGGTCGAAGCGTACAGCTGTAAATTTCCATATGAGTTGCTCTTGTGACATGTCCATGTGCATTTCGACTGCGCAGGTTGGCACAGACATCTTGCCACGAGACCTCTGATAGGGAGCTTGTACAGAGATCTTGCCAAGAGACCTCTTATGGAGATCTTGTTGAGGGATCTTGCCAAGAGACCTCTTACGGAGATCTTGCCAACAGAGCTCTTGTAGAGTTCTTGCGCAGAGATCTTGCCAGAAGACCTCTTATAGAGATGTTGTACAGAGGCCTGGTAAAGAGGGCAGCGATCTAGTTCGGAGGTCTTTTGTGCAGAACTTGAACAAAGATCTTACTTTGAGATCCCTCACAGAGATCTTCTATGGAAATCTCTTACAGAGAGATCTCTTCAAGAGTCTTTCCTTGAGACCTCTTTTAGAGATCTTGTACAGAGATCGCCAAGACACCTCTTACGGAGAACTTGCACAGAGACACTGCATAGAAATCTGTTGTAGAGATCTTGCCAAGAGGTCTCTTACATAAATCTTGCCGAGATGCTTGTACAATATTTTCATAAAGAGATCTTGTACAGAGACATTGTATAGAGATCTGTTGAGATCTTGCCAAGAGACCCCTTTTTAGAGATCTCGTACAGAGATCTTGTACAGAGATCTTGCCAGGACACCTCCTATGGAGACCTTGTACCAAAACATTGCATAGAGATCCGTCGCAGAGATCTTGCCAAGATATCTTACCAACAGAGCTCTTAGAGAGATCTTGTACAAAGATCTTGCCAGGTGACCTCTTTTGGAGACCTTGTACGGAGACCTGGTGAAGAGAGCAGCGATCTTGTTCGGAGATCTTTGAAAGAGAACTTCTGCAAAGATCTTACTTTGAGATCCCCCACAGAGATCTTCTATGGAGATCTCTTATAGAGAGATCTCTTCAAGAGTCTTTCCGAGAGACCTCTTATAGAGATCTTGCACAAGGATCTTGCCAAGACACCTCTTACGGAGATCTTGTACAGAGACATTGCATAGCAATCTGTGGCAGAGATCTTGCCAAGATGTCTCTTACATAAATCTTGCCAAGATAACTCCTCTAGAGAGCTTGTACAAAGATTTCATACAGAGACCTTGTACAGAGACATTGTATAGAGATCTGTTGAGATCGTGCCAAGGGGCCCTTCACAGAGATCTTGCCAAGAGACCTCTTATAGAGATCTCGTACAGAGATCTTGTACAGAGATCTTGTACAGAGATCTTGCCAGGACACCTCCTATGGAGACCTTGTACCAAAACATTGCATAGAGATCCGTCGCAGAGATCTTGCCAAGATGTCTCTTACAGAGATCTTACCAACAGAGCTCTTAGAGAGATCTTGTATAAAGATCTTGCCAGGTGCCTCTTTTGGAGACCTTGTACAGAGACCTGGTGAAGAGAGCAGCGATCTTGTTCGGAGATCTTTTAAAGAGAACTTGAGCAAAGATCTTACTTTGAGATCCCTCACAGAGATCTTCTATTTTCGGAGATCAATAGATTGCTTGAACAGAGATCTTACTCTTCCAGACCCCTTACAAAGATTTTCTGCGGAGATCTCCGATAGACACCTTGTACAGATAGCCTTACACAGGGATCTTGCACAGCAGCCTCTACAGAGAACCTGTCAAAGAGATCTTGCGCACGATCTTCTACAGAGATCTTCACAAAGGGACCCTGCAGAATTTTACCTGCTATCTCTTCTTTTCACTACAAGGGTCGCTCTTGTCCTGCTAGCTTGCAGCCACTCATGCTTTTAGGTCCTGTCCGTCTTTTCCTTTAGAATCCTAACTACACACTGTTTGGGGTCTCTTGCCGGGACCGGACTGTTATTGCGCACAAGGTTCTTGCGTGCTGCTTTTGCTCCGTGGGAAGACTTGTCTCGTTTGTCCCGGATTCGTACGAATCACGCCAAAACCCAGGTTTGGGCACGTTCTGTTCACAGCTTTGTTTCTCTCGAAAACGCTGGGTTTTCTCCCTCCTTGAGTGTTGAAATCCGTGATGTTCCCATCGGCTTGTGTGGTCGTTCTGCGGGGTGTGATGGCCGTAAATGCTCGGACAAGTGTCGTCGCTTTGGCTTCCGCCTGGCTGCGTTGCAGTGCTCGCATTCCTTCAAATCCAACCTGGCTGAGGAAGAACATGAAGAACCAGTGACGATCATTCTCGACTTAGGGGCTGATGCCCCTGCCTTTCCAGCAACGTGGGCAAGCGCTGGAGTCAAGGCCAAAAAGGAACACTGGGAGGAGACTACAAGGCAAGGTAATCCCAACACTTGGACGAAGAGATGTGGAGGTCCATTTGAAGGGAAAACACTTTTTTTGGACCTCATTACATTTCTTTTGGACCTGGACACTTTTACTGGACCTTACTACAATTCTTTTGGAGATGGCTACCCTTCTTTTGGACCTGCACACCCTCCTGCTGGACCTCATCCTTCCCTCCTGCTCGACCTGGCCCTTTCCCAAACCATACCCTTTTCGGTAGATTCTACGGTTTCTGTCCAGCCGTCTGCATCGCAATTTTTCAGACAGTAG